TTAAAAAGGTCACTTTGATAAATGGTTTATGTTGCCAAAATCACATTGCTTAGAATTTTTTTTCTTTTAAGCTTTTCATAGTACATCTTGCTTCCTTATCCTTTTTAAACTCATTTTTTTCTTTTCTTCATCTCTTTTTCCTTTTTTGAATCTTCTGTACATATCCATTTATTTAGAGCTATCGTGGTGATGATATTTGAGGTTTCGCTTGTTTATCTGAGTAGCGTTCCTGTTTATATTCCCTGTGCCGATACTTGGTTACAGGGACAAATGGTGACTGAATTGTGGATGTGGTTTTCAAGGAAAAGTCTGGGTCCAGCTCCTAAAAGAGACCTGGGCTTGGAGGGCATCATGAGGAGCTGTGCTTGTATGACCTAGAATCAGTGTGTGGTCCTTTCAATGTGGGTGCATTGCTCCTAGACCAGGGAGGTTCCAGAACACTGCAGCTCCAAGGGACCTCAGGGCACATTCAACTGACCCTGCAGCCCTCATGACAGTTACAGCAACGCTGTCAGCCACGAGGCAGGGGGCCGCAGCATCCTATTTCAGTAGGAGCAGGGCTCTGGAGTCAGATGGATCTGTCTTTGGGTCCTGGTCCTAAGACTAACTAGCTGCATGACTTTAGGATAAACTCTTTGTGCCTGTTTCCTCTGCTATGATTAGGGATGGTAATCATAGTACCCTACCTCATACGGTTGTTGTGAGGATTAAATAAGTGAACACATGTAGAAGAATACCTGGCACATAATAAACATTGAATTAAGTGTCAGCTATTATTAACAATAATAGAATATACAGTTCTTAGAATTGTGCTTGGCCATTAGCGTATCTTGTGACATGTTTGCTCCCCAGACAAGGTGCAACTTTTGTTTTCAGTTTTAGGGCTGCGTGTAACTAACTGCTACTGAGTGGGATCCCCCTCCTTGGATGCTGTCTCGTCACTTGGTGATTGGTGATGCCTGAGCTGTTACATTACTTCCCAAACAGAAAAGCTTCCTCAGAGCATAGTTTCCAGAGATTCTTGTGAGCTTTTCATCCAGCAATGTGTTTTCTATTAGAAACAGAACAGTAACCACAGCCAGTAACCTGGAGTTTACAGTCCAGCCGTAGCCACAGGCAGCCTGCATTTCTAAAGAGACCAGACACTTTTTCTCCCAGAAGTTTATTTAAAAAAACATTTAACGGAGCATTAAAATAATTTCTTATAGAAAGGAGAAGGGCCTTCACTTTTTTTTTTTTTTTTGCGGTACGCGGGCCTCTCACTGTTGTGGCCTCTCCCGTTGCAGAGCACAGGCTCCGGACGTGCAGGCTCAGCGGCCATGGCTCACAGGCCCAGCTGCTCCGCGGCATGTGGGATCTTCCCGGACCGGGGCACGAACCCGTGTCCCCTGCATCGGCAGGCGGACTCTCAACCACTGTGCCACCAGGGAAGCCCGGGCCTTCACTTTTAGTCTGTGGCTTGCTCCAGGTGGTCTCTACCCGAGACTTGACTATGAACGTGACTCTGGCCACGTAACTCTTTGCCTTCCTGCTCTGAAGGTGCATAATTTGGGCACTGTTGACCTTCTCTTAGGAGCCCTGTTTCACAGGTCTTTGTTTTTGGACATTCTTCTCTCGATTCTCTGCTTTGTTTCTTTGACCTCTGCCAAAGATGGAGAAATAAATGTGTTGCAAACAATCTAAGCACAGAAAAAGAATGTGGCCCAGTACTGTGTTCTCTTTTTGTTGACTTAGGAAGCAGTGAGTTATGGTCCGCATATGAGCCACAGAGCCTCACATCTTCCTGCTCTCCTTGCACCTAGCCCTGAGATATATTTCCTTTTCACTTTTAACAGCTTTATTGAGTTTTAATCCCTGCCTTTTTAGCCAGAGTCTGACCTTGGTTCTTATTTAAACTGCTACAGTGTGGTAGAAAGAGTTCTGGATTTGAAGCCAGAGGGGAAGAGAAAAAGGAAATCACATTTATTGAGTCTTACCCTTCATCATTCCATTTCTTCAGATCTTTCTTAAGATGCTATTATAAGCCAGGCATTCTGAAAGGCACCGTAGGGCAGTGCTTCAGGGATGTGGGAGCTGGACCCAGGCTATCTGGGTTTGAATTGCACTTCCATCAGTGAAGGGGGACCCACCGTTAAGTAGGACCTTAATGACTTCTTATTTAACTTCTCCTGTGCCTCAGTCTCCCCATCTGTCAAGTTAGAATGCTAATAGTGTCTACCTGATAGGAGTGTTGTGAGGATCAATGAGTTAATAATAAAGAATGAGGTGATGATGATGATGACGGTGACAATGGTGATGATAGGGAGGGGCTGGGGTCAGGGCTCAATCAGACAGAGACTTCACTGCTCTCATGCTGCTCACAGCTGTGTGTGCGCGTGCACGTGCATGCTGAGGGATGAACTTGGAGTGTGAGACAGATATAAATAATTAAGTACAGTAAAACTTGGTGAGTTACTATAGGGCAGGGGAGGGGACTGTGGGAGCATATGGCAGTGAGGCTTCTTTTGATGGCATGTATACCTTCTGAACTTGAAGTCTGGCTGTTAGCTTTATGACTTTGGGTGACCCTCAATTTACTCACCTGCAAAACAGGTAACATAAAATACCAGCCTCATAAACTTGTAAAAACAAATGGAAATAGACATAAAGTGCCAAGTATAGTGCCTGGCATATAGTGAGTTCAGTGACTGTTTATGGACCCAGATTCTTTTGTTTTTTTTTTTTAAAAAAGATGTTAGGGGTAGGAGTTTATTAATTTATTTTTTTTTGCTGTGTTGGGTCTTCGTTTCTGTGCGAGGGCTATCTCTAGTTGTGGCAAGTGGGGGCCACTCTTCATTGCGGTGCGCGGGCCTCTCACTCTCTTGGCCTCTCTTGTTGCGGAGCACAGGCTCCAGACGCGCAGGCTCAGTAGTTGTGGCTCACGGGCCTAGTCGCTCCACGGCATGTGGGATCCTCCCAGACCAGGGCTTGAACCCGTGTCTCCTGCATTGGCAGGCAGATTCTCAACCACTGTGCCACCAGGGAAGCCCTGGATCCAGATTCTTGACAGAGAGATATTTTTCCTTCACAGTCCCGGTGAACAGAGACAGAACCCCCTGGGCTGCCACCTGCACGTTGGCTTGGCCGTCAGTCATCTTTCCAAGGATCATTGGAATCCACATAGAAACCACCTTTGCACACAGGGAATCTACTCCTCTGGCTCCTTCACAAGTCTCAGTGCAGTGGACTCCCCTTCTGTCCTTCCACCCTGCAACCCTCAGCCCTTTGAGCTTCAGCTGGCTGGTAGGAGTGACTCCGGGCTGCTCTAGCCTCCCAGGCACCCTTACCATCTTGGGCTCGCTGATCATCCTTTTCCTCTTCCTCCAGAGTCCCTTGGGCTTGTTCTGCCTTCACCTTATGAAATGAGTTTTTTTCTGGTTTTCTCAATTTTATTTAACTTTGTTATTGTTTTTTTAAAATTTATTTATTTAATTTATTTATTTTTGGCTATGTTGAGTCTTCGTTGCTGCCTGCAGGCTTTCTCTCTAGTTGCGGCGAGTGGGGGCTACTCTTCGTTGTAGTGTGCGGGCTTCTTATTGCGGTGGCTTCTCTTGTTGCAGAGCACGGGCTCCAGGTGCGCGGGCTTCAGTAGTTGTGGCACATGGGCTCAGTAGTAGTGGCTTGCAGGCTTTAGAGCGCAGGCTCAGTAGTTGTGGTGCACCGGCTTAGTTGCTTCGCGGCATGTGGGATCTTCCCGAACCAGGGCTGGAACCCATGTCCCCTGCATTGACAGGTAGATTCTTAACCACTGCGCAACCAGGGAAGCCCTGTTATTGTTTTCTAACTTTTCTCATGTTGGTTTCAAGGGCAGAGACTGTCTCATCTCTGTATTTCCTATGGTGACTAGCACAGTGCTGTAGTAGGTACTCAGTAGACAATAATTGTTTTTACGCGGGTAGGGCTTTGTGGTTAACCAAGCCTCTTTTGTATAGTTTTTTTTTTTTTTTTTCAAATCTGCACCACAGTCCTCTGAAGTAGACAGAGCAGGTAGTATTCTTTTTAGCACAATTAAGAAACTAAGGCCTACACTTCAGCCATAGGTCCATTGATTACTTAATTCTACAGAGAAGATATTTACTGAGTGTAACTCTGTCCCATGGGCTAGGAAAATAGAGCTGAAAGACATCATCCCTTCCCTCGAGGATGAGGCAGATGTTTGAACAAATAATTGTATGAAGTTTCAGGACAGAGGAACAATGAACGTGTTTATTGGGGGAAGATCAGCGAAAAATTGAGAGAGAAAGAGACGCTTGCATTGGTCCTTAAAGGGTTGACTTCACAACACAGAAAGGGTGGGCGGGAGGGCATCCCAGATAGAGGAAATACCATGTACACAGCCTATGGGAATGAAAAGACCAGCACCTTGGGAGATACTGCAGCATCAGCAAGGCTGGCAGGAGGTGTATAGCAACGGGGTGGTGATAGAAGGGAAGATGGCAGTAACTCCCACTGGTAAGACCCCAAGACCCCCAGGGCTTGCAGGAGACTGGAAGCTTCCTCCCTTTGTTCAGTCTCCCAGTTTCTAGCCCTTCCTCCCAGAGGCACTCACAGCATGTACATAAACCACCTTTCAGCTTTGGATGGGCTCCCCTTCGCTCTGCTTCCTTGCACCCCCAGCTTGTCTGCACAGAGATTTGCAATCTCCTTTTGATGCTAAAAGAAAACATCTTATCACATGAGAGACCTGCGACCTGACTGCTTGGAAGAATAAAGTTTACCAGGTGAAATGACCTCTGTGTCATTTGCTCTTTGTGGTGTGAGGTGACTGGGAAGGAATAAAGTCCGTCTGTGACCAAACACCTGTGTTCCTCTCTCACTGGCAGGGTCACCAGAGGGGAGTGTTAAATTGCTCCTCAAATGAGTCAGCCCTGCTGTTCCTGAGGAGACGGGGTGGTGCAGCTTGAGCTCTGTGGGCAAGTCTGACCAGGCCCATCTCACTCGTGCCTGTGTTTGCCTTGCAGCTGTGTAAATGAGTATGGAAGATTATGATTTCCTGTTTAAAATTGTTTTAATCGGCAATGCTGGTGTGGGGAAGACGTGCCTAGTCCGACGGTTCACTCAGGTAAGAAGTCTGAAGTCTGGGGTCGGGTTTTTCCATCTGGCCTTCGGGGTTAGGGGATCCTGACAGGATGGGTGAGTGGTACCTACGCCAGCCTCTTGGCTGCCAATGCTTAACGAGCCCTTTGCAAGTGTACCAGCTCCATAGCCTAGTCTGGAGGGTTTTTTTTCGACATTTAAAAATTTTCATCTTATTTGAAGTCTCAGCAACGGTGAACATGACCACTATTTTCTCTGTGAAATATCCTTTGCTCTTTCTTTTCTTTTGACTTTTTAAAAAAATTGAAGTATAGTTGATGTACAGTATTATATTATAGGTGTACAACATAGTGATTCACCATTTTTAAAGGTTAGACTCCATTTATAGTTATTATAAGATGTTGGCTGGATTCCCAGTGTTGTATAATATATCCTCACAGCTTATTTATTTTATACGTAAGAGTTCGTATAGACTAGAGTTTCTGAACCATTTCCAGGGAGCACGGCTCAGTGGGTCTCCACCAGCCCTCCCACGCCTCTCATGGCTTCTTTTAGTAAAAGGGGTGAGTGGTTTTGCTTTCAGTCCGCAGTATCAAAAATAGCTTATCAGATTAAAAAAAAAAAAGATTACTCGTTAATAATAATCCAAAGGTGGAAACAAATGAATCTGGATGTCAAGTTAAACCTAAATGTTAACTTTTTAAAAACTCAAATTCAAATTAAACCCCTCAAGCTCCCTGCTGATGCCCTCTCAGTTCCTCCCAGAAAGCTGATCAAATCGTTTTGGTTTAGAACCAAATATGCTGATTTTTCTAATCTATTCCACGGGAATGAAATGAGAACAGTGAAGGACTATTTGAACTAAATTAAATGTTCCCTCTGGGTTGAGTCCTTATCATTTGTTCTAAGTACAAGTTCCCTTTGGGGCTGCCCTTTTGAGAATTACTGCCAGAGATTATATACCTGATTTCACACAGAAATGGGTGGGAAATCATTCTGAGGTTGACCTTCTTCTGTGTTTTCCTGGAAAATTATGAATGGCATCCTTTTCAGGATTTATCATGCATGCATCTTGCATTTTCATAAAGTGCTAACGGGGAAGGTTGAGAATAGCTCTTCTGTCTAAGGCACAGGGCAACCTGGTGCCCAGGAGAGAACACTGGCTCGAGAGTGGAGACACGGGCCCTCGTCGCAGCTCTTGCCCTGTAAGCCTGGGGAAACTCCGCCCCCTTGCCGGGCCTTCCTGCCTCCCTGTGATCTCCAAGGCCCCTTCTAGCTCTGACAGTCTGTGGTTCTCTGGAAAACTGGAGAGACAGATTGGTTAACACAAATAGCTTGAGGGCAGAGAGTCATCTTTGGAAATGTCAAGGTTTTTCCCATGATAATGAACGCAGAATAGGACTTTTTACTAAGCCATGGCCTGGTGAAATCAAAAGTAACAAGCTGACAGGCATCTGGGCTCAGTCAACCGCCATGGCGTAATATTGGAAACTCCAACTGGTTTTACTTCCCTCTACCATTAGTAACCTTTCTGCTTTTGGCAGGAGGACAAGACTGCAGAGACGTAAAGTTTTCAGTCCCTTTGTCAGAAGTTCCCTTGACCTTGTCTAATGACTGAAAGTTCCCTTAGAGACTTTTCAGCCCGCTCTTCTCATTTTATAGGTAAAAAACTCAGGTCTTAGAGGGATGAAATGACTTGTTAGCATCTCATATCATGTTAGTGGCAAGGCTAGGAGTAGAATCCAGATCTTCCGGTTCACAGCGTGATATTTTTTATCTTTTGCATGTTCTAACTTCTGAGACCGTAGGAGTCTGGCTTTTCTTTTTAAAAGCATAATTCTTGTCATTAGGGGTAAAAATACTTTGATTTTTAAACAGTAATTTTTACCAATAAGCACACCACCCCTTATTTTTCTTTTCTGTTTACTTTTTACTCCTCCCAGTCCCTTAACTCCCCCCAAAGTTCATATTTCATAGACAGGATTATGTTTAGTTTTGTTATTTAGTAGACAGTTAAAATGAATTGGATTCAGCTGTTTTTGAGGCATGAGGAATTGGGGAACAGAATGATGAGGGAGACACTGGGAAGGATTTGTTTTATTTTTTGGCATTTGTTATACTGCAAAACAGCTGGAGCTGTAAACTTGAAGCTTGGCAGCCTTGTGTTTGAGCCAAACCAAAATAGAAGAAAATTGATTCAATATTTGTAAGCAAAGTTGTGAATGTTTATATTTACATCTTTTGCAGACGTGCAGTGGAACAGTTTCTGTTGGTCTGATGCTCAGTCTTTTAAGTTCATACTTTAATTAAAGAACCCTCTTGTTAGGGAATGGACTTAATTAAAGATGCCCCAGTCTTAGCTCCCGGAGCTAATACAGTCCATTTTACTTTAATTTCTGGAAATTCTGGAGTATGAATGTGAAGAGGGAAGAGAAACTAGGTGAAGGGTTCTTTCTTGATAGAATTCCTTCCCACTTCAACTCCCTCCCTAAGCTTACAGGAAATATTATGTGACAGTAAATTACATTATACATGTAATTTTTCTAAAATCATACCTTTCTAGTTCAGCTTCCAATTTGATGTAAAGCTTTGTTTTGAAATACTTACATCATACCAGAGAGAAGGACTGGTTTGCCTAAGGTCACTCAGAGATCCTTAGGCTGCTGCCTCCTGGTTTGGTGCTATTTCTACTATACTGTCTCCCTGGATGACTGCTTTTCTTCAGTTATCTTCCCAGGGTCATTGGCCCTGATCTCATGTAGTTATATCTGTATGGTACAGAAATAGTTATCACTCTCAGGGCGGATGGAAATTCAGAGGATCACTGTCTCATTCATGTTTCTTGTGTTGAGTTCTTGTTTGTTTTTTCATCTTGGTTGTTCACCCCCATGGCTGTCCATGCCCTAGACTAATAGCCAGTTTGAATCTTCCTTGAGCTTACCCTTTAGAGCACCTGTCCGTTTTGCCCCCACCCAGACCATCCTGATCTCATCCCTGCAGCTCCATGTCTTATCCTTGTGTCTGATTTTTCTGTTTCATTCTTTGAAGTCAGGTCCCCCGTCCTTTCCCAGTTCTCTTCTTTTACCCTCTGTCTGCTTCCTCCTTTCTTTGTACCCCTTTCCCCTTCCTTCTTCTTTCAGCATTTCTCTCTCCCCCATCCACCCTCCTTTCTCCTCCCCTCAAAACATACACACAAAGTTAAATTAAACAGGGTTCCCATGACACTAACCAGAGTTCTCTCTTCTAACAGTTAACTCAGCCAAAGGAAGGAGCTGGCGATGGGTAGTAATGGGGTGGGGTGGGGGGAGAATCTCATTTAATTGAAAGATTTGCTTATTGTTATTTTCTATTATTTCTGCTTTAGGGTCTTTTCCCCCCAGGACAAGGAGCCACAATTGGAGTTGATTTTATGATTAAGACAGTGGAGATTAATGGTGAAAAAGTAAAGGTAAGATACTAAGTGTTCAATAAGGGTTTCATTGTGTTGTGTGAGAGGAAGTAGTGTTTTCATAACATTTATTAAATCACCTAATGGAAACCCACACTGAAAATAACATACTCAGCCATGGCAGCTTATTTCCAAACAGAGTTCCTCTCTTCCATTTATAGGGGCAGGAAGGGGTTATGGGTGATGTGTTTACAAATGGGAAGACAGAGAGAGAAGAGCTGAGGCAAGTTTGTCCTGTCTCTTGTCATGTCAGACTTCCCTGGTGGTCCAGTGGTTAAGACTCTGCTTCCACTGCAGGGGGCATGGGTTCGATCCCTGGTCAGGGGACTAAGATCCCGCATGCTGTGTGGCATGGCCAAAAAAAAAAAAAAAGGAAGAAATTTCTTTTGGGGATCTCTTGAGTTGGGCCATTATGCAGAGCTATATCTTCTTCTTTTTTTTTTTTAAATTGGAGTACGATTGCTTTACAATGTTGTGTTAGTTTCTGCTGTACAATGAAGTGAATCAGCTATGTGTATACATATATCCTTTCCTTCTTGGACCTCCCTTCCCCCACCCCCATCCCACCCATCTAGGTCATAACAGAGCACGGACCTGAGCTCCCTGTTTCTTCTTAATAGCAGCTTCATGAAAGAGCCTCCCGATTCCTACATTCATTATGGGTCATTCTGTTGTATGAATCATTTATTGGAATTATTCTGTCTACCACCCTACCCCTATCCCTAGTAAGGGAGAAATACTAAATGAGGGGTCCAGGAAGGGTCCATGATCTGCCCCGTCCCCTTTGTGGCCTCTGGATGGTTTGGTACCTGTATGAGCTATGGCGTCTGAGTTCAGTAACAGGAGAAGGGAGGTAGTATTTTTCGAGTGCCTAATATGCATCAATCCCCCTGCTACCTGTTTTTACATTTAACTTAATCCTTTTTGTAAACTCTGTGAGGTAAGTGGTAAATTGTCTTCATTTTATAGTTTTCAGAGAGGTTGAGTGACTTATTTATCCAGGGCTACACAGTTTAGCAAGGGAGGTAGGCAGGATCTGAACCGGTTTTGTGTGGGCCAGTGCACCTCACTGCCTCCCTGACAGGGGTCTCTACTGCTCTGAGAGCAGAGGAGAATGAAAGCATAGTAAGCCCATTATCTCGGAGCAAGGAAAGCGGGAGGTGATGGAAAGAAGTGTGCAGTAATTACTTGGGGGACTTCCCTGGCGGTCCAGTGGTTAAGTCTCTGTGCTTCCACTGCAGGGGGCATGGGTTCGATCCCTGGTCAGGGAACTAAGATCTCACACGCCGCATGGTGTGGCCAAAAAAGAAGAAGAAGAAAAAAGACTAAATTACTTGGAAGGAGGGTAGAGATACTGATCTTTGGCACTGTGCCCCTCAGAGTTAGTGAAATTCCACGGTCAGATCTTTCAGAGCTGAGTCCCATGGAAAGAAGCGGTGACCCTGGCATCAGCAGCACAGTGAGGACCCTGGCATCAGAGTTCTAGCCAGATCCCAACCTCAGCATCCCAAGTTTGAGTCCATGTCACTTGCATCCTTCTCCCATAGGTACCTGCACTCCCACCTTCAGATGCCTCAGGAAGGGCAGAGAAGCTCCGGGGTGCTCTTACAGCATGTCACAGACATACAGAGATGTGTTTAGGATGAGGCTCCTGAGTGGGGGACAGTATCTTTCCTAGTGCCTCTTCCAGCCCTGACTCTTCAAAGGGTTTGTTTTTTTTTTTTACTGCAAAGACATCTACACTAAATACAATAGTGATGGAGAGCTGGGGGCTCTGGAAAATAAAAGCAGGGTGTGGAATCCACATAAATGCCAACTGGAAAGGTCAGAAAAACTGTGCATTGGGGTGGTGAGAAGAAGCTGGGTGGGGAGAGAAGGGAGCCAGGCGTGTGCACTTGAGAGGCGGCGGCAGGAAGAGCCACTTGTAGTTCCCTCCTGTTCCAGCAGAGGCAGGTGGTACCATCCCAAGGAGCTGGGTTAAGGTAACTTCTGTTTTAGGCATTGTATTCCCAGATGTTTGGGTTTCCCATTTATATACATATATATGTATGAGTTCATTCCTTTGACCAGAAAGGTTCATGCCTGCCATATGCCAGGCCCTGGGAATAGATAGCAGTGAATAAGAAATGGTCCCCACTGTTAAAGAACAGGCTTATTTTTCCTTCCTGAATCCCCAGATTTAGGTATTACATTTATGCCACTTTCCGTGAACCATAACCTCATTTTGAAGTACTTATTATACTCAGCTAAAATCCATCTTTTTATAGCATCTAACTCTACCACGAGACCACAGGCTCCCCAAGAACAAGGTTTATATCTTACTCATCTTTGTATCACAGCACAGTGCCCGTTCCCATCATCACTTTAGGCCTCTGGACCTTCGTCTATGAGAAGTGAGAGTTGGTTCATCTCCGAAATCCAGTCCTAATTAATTTGCCTGGGATTTTTTCTAACCGTATATGTAGAATCAAGATAGAAAATGACCCTCTTCAACTACATTAGTCCAAGGGTCTCATTAACACTTGGACATGTGAGGAGAGCAGCCCAGGCTTCACTAAGGAAGCAGTTGTTGTCTTATTATTGTTGGTGTTCTTTAACATTTACTGAATACCTCTTCTTGGTGAGAGTTAAGTGTCTTTTTGCTAGTAGTTTGCAGGCTTTCTCAGGGCCCCATAGAGCCAATGGAAAGAGAATCCACCCGTGGTTTGTACAGGATCACCCACCTGGCGAGTGGCAGGGCAGGACCAGAACCCTGGTTTCTCTCCTGACTGCTCATCATCCACCCTCAGCCTCTCCTACAAGTCCCATTCTTTCTAGGATGACTCCCAACATCACAGGCAGCTAAGCAAAGGTGATAGAAAGATTCTCATAGGTATTAAGTCTTAGTGCCCAATCAGTAGAGGCAAAGTTGAGGAAGAGGCCCTTCTCTTAAAGTGGTCTGTATTATGAAGGTGACCTTGGGTAGAAATTATAATTAAAACTTATATAGAAGTTTCTCCTAACCACTGATTTTTTCTAGCCTATCATAAATTAATGAGTAATAAGTAAAACTCTAAGCTCAGTTTATGACATTTTAACCTTAGGAGATTATAATAGAAGATTTGCTGGATTTTTCTCTCATCAGGTATTTACTGCATAGATAGGAAAGTCTTGAAAGTATGCATATGTATTTCCTCTCTCAGCCATCTGTCCATCCTTTCATTTATCCAGCCATCCTGTGTTAGGGTGGATGCTTTGTGCCAGGCACTGTGTTAGGTAAAGCATCTTTGTTCCCTAGTAACTTACTGTCATCTTGCTGAAACGTTTCATCTGTGAAATCTTCTTTAATACTCTGCTAATCATTTAAGCAGAATGAATCCATCCTTCCTTTGTGATTCCACCATCCTTTGTTCATTCAGTTAGCCATCATTCCAATGTGTCCACCACGTACCATGGCCTGTTTTAGGAAGGCAGTAGGGGTATAAGGTTAAATAAAAGGCAGCCCTTACCCTTAGAGAACCTAGTCTAACAAGGGGACATAGTAGTAAACCAATGATTGCAGTACGTTCTTGTAGCAGAGGCAATAGAGGTGTAAGTGGTGGTACAAAGAAGAGAGTAGACAACGGTGCAGCCCCATACTGGAGGTGAGAGTGGTTAGAAAGCCCAGGGCAGTGGTATTGAGAACATATTCATGGACATAAGACTAACACCAGGAGACACTCTCCTGCTGGCCCCTCTTTAATAAAACATCTCATATCTTACCATGGTTAGTCAACTATGTATTCATCCTCCCTGTACTAGGAGCTTTTTGAGATCAGGGATTGTGTTTTATTTATCTTTGCATCCTATCTGTGCTTAGCACAGTGTTCTGCATCTGTTAATGATCTATAAATGCTGAAAAAGAGCAAATGAATTGCAGAGAGAATAGTGAAACCAAGTTGAATAATCAAGGCAGTGGAATATGGATCTCCTCAGGAATTAACCATAGGGCTAGAAACGGGCAGCCTCTTTGGGAAAACAGCCTACATCTCAGCCAAGACATACAGTCAGTATTCTAGAAAATATCTCAGTGGTTTTCATTCTCAGAGCTGTTCTCAAGATGTGCCAGTCATGAGAACATACTGATTTCTAATGATTGGCAGTACTAAATCCAATCACAAGTGTTTCTCGAGGCTCTGTGCGGCATTAAAATAATAGTCTCTTGTTCTAAGACACAGCCTGGCAGAGGGGAACCATGTCCCTAGGTTTGAGGCAGAGAACAGAAGTAGCTTTTGTCCTGGCAAAAGCTGTAACATCTGTATGGTCGCCTTCAGCATACACAGGCTTTCATGTACATCATCAAAGGGCAGCTGTGACTCCAAATCAAAGGAGAGCCTGTGTGCCACTGATTGGTGGCAGGGACCACCGGTCACTCATCAGTCTCCTCAGCTAGACTGGTCTGAGCAGAGGGTGATACCAACTGCCTCATCCTCTTTGGATGCAGATGTACATTTAAATCAGTCTCTGGCAGCAAAGCAGCACGGTGTATGGACTGAGTCCTCTCCTGGGAGTCAGAAGGCCTGGAGTCTGCGTCCCAGCCTTGCGAGTAACCTGTTAATGAAAGAGAGGCATAAACTTGCCTACCTTACTGGGTTGTTGTAAGGATGAAATGAGACCGTGAATAAATATTTGAACATTTACTCTTTGCCAGACACTGGATTTGGTATAGGGGATAAGGGAGAGTAAAATGGACCCCAGCTTCCCCCTCATGAAGCTTTCAGTCTAGTGAGGAAGACGGTTCTGAAACAAGTTATTACAAGTAACTAAGTGATCCAAGTGTGTCAGGTGCTGTGAGGGAGAATTGCAGGGTAGGTTGCAGGAGAGATTATTTGGGGGTGGGGATGGGGAATCTGGCCTAATCTGAAGGTTCCAGAAGGTCTCCCCTGAGGAAATGATGTTCTGTTAATGGGGGTGAAGGCATTTTGTGACATGTGAAATTGATGCAGTTAGAAGGGAAGATTGTTGTTGGTGTGATTTTTCAAGGTCTCGGATTTGTTCTGCACTCAGCAGTCGCTCTGGGGAAGAGTTCTCTTTCAGAGGTCTGCTCTGTGCAGGGAAATTCAGGTTGAAGTGAGAAGTGTTTTGCCTTCTTTGTTATTAGAACCATCAGGTAAATGACTTCAGCAAGTTTGCATATTATTAACCTCTTTTTATAAAGAAGCCACCGAAGCCCAAAGAGATTAAATGACTTGCCCAAGGTCACAGAGCTTACAAGTGGTGGAGAGAAATTATTTTCTTTGCCTGCCATGGCATTGTTCCTGTTTTCATTAACAAAGATAATACCTTAATATATTCATTTGAATGGATTTTTTTTTCCCCTCTCCAGTTGCTGACTGAAATGCCAACAGTCACAGTGACAGCTTGCCCTGGATCCTGACTTTTGTAATTGGGCATGCATTATGATTAAGAGCAGGGACTCTGGGACCACACTGCCTGGTTGAATCAGCTCTAGGACATATTGGCTGTGAGACACTGAGCAAGTTAATTAATCTCTCTGTGCCTCAGTTTCCTCATGTAAGAAATGGATATAGGAATAGTACTTACCTCATAGAGTTGTTGTGAGGGTTAAGTGAGTTATTCTATGTAAAGTGTTTAGAATAGAGCTTGGCAAGTAAGTGCTCAATAGTTTGGTTGTCTTTTTTAAGATTTTTTATAAAGAATAGAAGGGATTGCTTATGACCAAAAGGAGAACGTTTGAAATATGTTATATGAATGCAAAGCTTTAATAAGACATAGGAATATACTTTCTGATTTAGGAAATAAACAAAATGGAAAATTAAAGATATGAGCAATGAAGAGTCTACAGATAAAAAAAGCAATTCTTATGGGAAATAGGCTTATAATAAAAATTAAGTAGATTATAAATACCCTAATTTTACCTTTTAAATGAAGTTATACAAAAATAATCTAAATGCCTTAAAAAAAAAAGAATAAAGGGGAAAGTCAAAATAATTTAACAAACTAAAAAACAAAAATCAAAGTGAATCCCTATCTTTAACCAGGCTCACCCAACAAATCTTTAAAAAAATTGTAGGTGCCTTTTTCTTGGGGCAAAAAATAACCATGAAATTATCTGGGTGAAGGTGCTTCTGTTTCTAAACTAAAGCAAGGCAGTGCTGTCTTTCTTTTTTGCTTCACCAACCTGATCCTTCTCTTCTGCCTTTACAGCTCCAGATCTGGGACACAGCAGGTCAAGAGAGATTTCGGTCCATCACCCAGAGTTATTACCGAAGCGCCAATGCCTTGATCCTCACCTATGACATAACCTGTGAGGAATCCTTCCGTTGCCTTCCTGAGTGGCTGCGGGAGATAGAACAATATGCTAGCAACAAGGTCATCACTGTGCTAGTGGGTAAGTAAGGACTAATGAGGAGGGACATTGATTTGTGAGCATCAGAGAATTTAGAATCACATAAGGCCACATGCCTTGGTACCTTCCGAGAGTATAGTCTACAGCTGTATAATTCATGTGGTCAACATTCAGTTCTTCTAAATGAAATTGAAGAGAAAATGAAATAGATCCTATCCCATGGTGATGGTTTAGAAAAGTAAAGTAGAAAATGTTGCTGATTGATTTTCCTATCAGTGCAGGCTCTAGGGAAGAAGGTGGATTGCCATGAAAGTTATGTGGGCTGCTAAACATTACAAAAAAATCTAGGCCATGGAAACTGCTGGTCTAGAAGTAAAATATATCTACGTTGATAAGGAATTCATTATTGAAGCAATTACTTTTTGCCTAAAAAAATGGACTTTGGTTAATTTTTTCCCTTCTTACATTTATACTGATTTGAAAAATTCTAATTTTCAGAAAGAATAAGGGAAATTCTGCAGTTTGTTTCCTCTTGTAGGAGGGTTGAACCTCTATTTAGAATGGGGGGAAAGCAGAAAATAACCCATGGTTTTTTTTTGTGGTGACAAATGCACCCATTAAAAATGAAATTGCGGCAAAACAGATTAGATTGTTAAAAATCCTCTACTGGTGATGGAAAAATGTTAATAATATTTGGTTGTTAAAATGTTTTCTTCCTGAGAATTCCCTGTCAGTCCAGTGGTTGGGACTCCGAGCTTCCACTGCAGGGGGCACAGTTTTGATCCCTGGTCAGGGAACTAAGATCCTGCATGCTGTGCTGTGTGGCCAAAAAAAAAAAAGAAAAAGTTTTCTTCCTAAGAAGGAACATTGTTGTATATTCTAGAAAGACCTGAATTTTGGAAATCCAGTAGAGAACCTCAGAAACATTAAGTTAAAAATCATGGTTAACAGTAAGTTAAACACTTTATAGAAAGCGTTATAGCTAGTGTATATGTGCCAGGAATCATATTAGGAATATTATGTGTCATGATCCCAAATTTACAGATGAGGAAAGCAAGGCTCAGACAGGTGAAGTTCTTTCCCCAAGGTCACTCAGCATGTAAGACTGACTTCAAAGCCTGTGTTTATCCAGCTGTAACGTGCTGCCTTGTAACAGATTGCTGGACTTTTCCTTCAAGCTGCTGGGTTAAGTATCTGCCTCTCTATGAGCTAATGCTCCATGCTCGGTCCTGAAAACCCTCCTGCACAATGGAGAACCTTTGCTGTGAAGAGCTTGAAAGACCTCCACTTTGGACATAAAGTCCTTGAGAACATGAGTCAAAGCATTACTACTTGGGATTCTATATAAAGGAAGTTAAATGAATGTATGAGGGGACATGATCAGTCAGCTCAGTATGAAAGAGGCACTACCTTTTTTTTTTTTATTTTTTTTTCCGCGGTACACGGGCTTCTCACTGCTGTGGCCTATCCTGTTGTGGAGCACAGGCTCCAGACGCGCAGGCTCAGCGGCCATGGCTCACGGGCCCAGACGCTCCGCGGCATGTGGGATCTTCCCGGACCAGGACACGAACCCGTGTCCCCCGCATCGGCAGGTGGACTCTTTAGCACTGCGCCACCAGGGACGCCCAGCACTACCTTTTTATTTATTTTTTATTTTTAAAAAAGTTTATTTATTTATTTATGGCTGCATCGGATCTTAGCATGCAGGATCTTTCGTTTCGGTGTGTGGGCTTCTCTCTAGCTGTGTGTGGGCTCCAGAGCACGTGGGCTCTGTAGTTATGGTACATGGGCTCAGTAGTTGCAACACAAGGGCTTAGTTGCCCCGTGGCATGTGGGATCTTAGTTCCCCAACCAGGGATTGAACCTGCTTCCCCTGCATTGGAAGGCAGATTCTTAACCACTGGACCACCAGGGAAGTCCCAGCACTGGCCTTTTTTTTTTTTTTAAACATCTTTATTGGAGTACAATTGGTTTACAATGGTGTGTTAGTTTCTGCTTTATAACAAAGTGAATCAGCTATACATATACATATATCCCCATATCTCCTCGCTCTTGTGTCTCCCTCCCACCCTCCCTATCCCACCCCTCTAGGTGGTCACAAAGAGGGGTGATCTCCCTGTGCTATGCGGCTCCAGCACTGGCTTTAAAAATTTTTTTTATTATGGAAAATTTTAAATATAAGCAAAATAGAGAAAACAGTATAATGAACACCCATATGCCCATTTCTCAGATTTGACAATTAACAACTCATAGCCCATCTTATTTTATCTTTTCCCCATCTCTTCTATCTGCCTTCCCCTTCAGATTATTTTGAAGCAAATCCCAGATGTCATATTAATTCAATTTATATTATTTCAGTGTGTATCTCTATAAAAGATATAAAATTTTTTAAAAAAGAGAACCTAACCACAATGCCATTTTCACACCTAAAAAATATTAATGAGTCCTTGATTGACTCATCCATCAGAAATTTATTCAAATCAAGATCCAAATAAGGTCTGTATGTTGTAATTAATTTTTATGTCTTTTGATTCTCCTTTTAGCTATAGCTTATCCCTCCATTTTTGCTCCCTGGGAATTTATTTGTTAAAGCATTTGTTTGTCCTGTGGAGTTTTCAAGTCTGAATTTTGTTATTTCACCCTGGTGGTATCATTTGATATGTTCCTCTATCACCTAAATTTGTGGCAGATATGTACGTAAATCTAGAGCCTGGTCAGATTTAGGTTTTGTTTTTCATTTTAGCAGATATACTTTATAGTTGGTATTCCAAGGTACTGTTCTCATAGGACAGTCAAGAAAAATGCTTGATTCTTTCTTTTCCATTTATTACTTTCCAAAGTAATGAGTTGGTTCCCTAGTCTTCCAAAAGCAACTGTTGAAGTTTGTTTATATTTTGAATATTGCTATAGATTTAAATATATTTGATGTATTCTAGCCCCTTGCAATTATTATTATTGATGCTTCAGTTGTTCCAACTTTGACAGTGGGAGCTTCTTCAGCTGGGCTCCTGAGTCCTTTTGACATGACTCAGGAATCTTTGATAATTTTCTTTATTTCTGGGATGACAAGTGTTCGAGGCACATCCAGTGCATTTCCTACCCCAGACCTGGAATTAGGCATTTCTTCAGGAAGCGCTGTTTCTTTTCAATGGGAAGTTGTATTTAGAGGCTACAACCAAGGTGATAGGAATCGTCTTTACTAGGTGATGGCTTTTAGGCTTTTCAGTGGACAGAGCTGGTGTGTGTGTGCGTATATGGTGAATTCTGTGGCATCCACAGGGGGTTGTCTCATTAGGCTCTGTGAAACGTTTTGATTGACGAGACTACCATAGACCACATGGTATCACAGTCACTTAGAAGGATACAGGACAGGAAACACAGCTTAGTAGTAAGCCAGCATCAAGCATTCCTCTTCAGTGGAAGCAGCCCTCATAGCAGTCCACAGAGCTGTCCAGGACCTCCCGGGACAGTTCAGATGTGAAGGGAAAAGGCTCACTTCAGGCAAGTGCAGGATCTGCCCTGGCTAGAAGCCTCAATGCCCCATAGGAGCCCATCTCTCTTGTAACAACCCGACAGGCCTAACTTTCAGGGTCTCTTCAGGTGAAGAATCATCACACTCAGGGAAGCCTAAAGTTAAGGCTTTCCATTAGGTATTTATAATTCATACATAGAATTCCCAGGCCAGATGGAATTTATCAATCAAGGGTCACTTTTACCATGAGCAATGTTGGGAAGTAACACAGTTGGCATATCACCTTTGTCAGATTTCCAAAACAGAAGTTGAAAATTTTTTAAAGATAAAATAACACCATGAATTATTCACACTGATACTTCCATTTGTAATTCAGGACTACAGAAATTTTACTTAACCTCATTAATCTTATATCCGTATTTCCTTTCTCCCATGCTAAAAATCCCTGTCCTAATGCCACTGGCATAATTACTCATTTGCTTTATCCCTTAAAACAGGTATAGTAGCCCCAGATAAATGATGCCAGCACTACCACCAACAAGATAATTACTGGACAGTTCAAGATTTTTTCCTTCAATTCTTTTTGTCCTTAGGGTATGTGCCACTGGGGATACATGGTTAAATTACTGGTTAAATTATCTTCAACTCACCTGAAATAGTTCCTCTTTGTGTGGTTATGCCACTTCATGATAAACAGGTTCATTTGTTTAATTTTGCTTTCAACTTTAGGAATTGCTTTTTAAATTTAATTTCATATTAATTGTGTAATCGTGTAAAACATTGATAAGATTCTGAAGTCAAATCTATAAAATGAAGTATATTTAGAAAGGGCTGGTTTTCATCCCTCAAGCTTGTTCCTTTCATAGGTAACCATTATCTTTAAAATTAAAATTTTGTTTTAGTCTCCCATTAAAAAAATAAGAATAAAGTGTATTTTTTCATCCATTTTTCTTAGAGAATTGTATATTATATACACTTTTTTCAACTTTGCTTTATTTGCTTAACAATATATCCTAATGTCTCATTCCATGGCAGCCTACAGAGATATTCCTCATTGCTTTTTATGGTGCTAAGTAGCTCCAAATAACTATGGATGTGACATAGTATATTCAGCCAGTGCCCAACTGATGGGCTTTTGGGTTGTTTCCAGTTCTTTGCCATTACAAATGGCACTGGTATTTTAAAATAAACAATCCAGGAATCACAGTCACATTTGTTTTGCTTTACTTGCCCATCTCTCTGGTTTGACTTCAGATACGGAGTTGAATTTTGATGTTTCCAAACTTGCAAAAAAGTCAAATGACGATTTCCTCTTTGATTTTACCACTATTTTAGGCAACAAGATTGATCTGGCTGAAAGGAGAGAGGTCTCCCAGCAGAGAGCTGAAGAATTCTCAGAAGCTCAGGACATGTATTACCTGGAGACCTCAGCCAAGGAATCCGATAACGTGGAGAAACTCTTCCTTGACTTGGCGTGCCGCCTCATCAGTGAAGCCAGGCAGAACACACTTGTGAACAATGTATCCTCACCCTTACCTGGAGAAGGGAAAAGTATCAGCTATTTGACTTGTTGTAATTTCAACTAAAGGCTGAGGCAAGGAGAAGCAAGAGGAATCAGCAGTTGCCCTGATGGGCCACCAATTGCTGGGGAGATCTGGCGATGACTATGGGTCCCGCTCTAGGACCTTCTGACTCCTGTGGGCTCCTGAGCTTACAAAGCATGGCAGGCCAAGGGCCTCGTCCACAGGCCAGCATTAGCAGAACATATAATGGTTTCACCCTTTTGCAGTCTGGAGTCGGATCAAGGAGAAAATTGCACTAGGCGCTCCATGATCTGCAGAGCATGTTGCTTTTGTTTTTTTTAAAAAAGCAAGTAAAATGCATTCCTGAACACAGTCCAGGGGGAGACGTACTGTAGGGATCCCTCCTGCACGTCAGTGGGTGCATGTGGGGGCTGCTCTTTAGGGCTTCTGGGGGCCCTGGTTTTCTTGTCTACCAGGTAAACCAAAACTGGGAACGCCAAGTCCTGTCTCTGGTGCGTGTTGATAGCTCCATGGAGATTTTGAAAAGTGTTATTTCTCTTTTCCATGGGCACTTTCAAGAACTTTGGGATGTAAAAATGAAACGAAACCTTTACCCGTGACAACAGTAGCAATCATTGTTTTATTAATGTATACAAGCTCCATGACTCCTTTTGGTGCTAATGATTCCACTCTTTCACAGACCAAACATTTTAGTACATTGATGTCCTTAAATACATTTCATAGAAATAAAAACGAAACAAAACAAAAAAAAGAAAAAAGGGAAGTCCATTAATCAGCTGTCTTTCTCAAAGTCTCATTATCACCTTTTCTAGGGTAGATTTGTTGGGAAAGAGAATACTTTCCTTTCCTGTTCCCCTCTAAATCTCTACCACTTTCTTCTTCAATTCTCCCATCTTTCCTGCCCTTTAAGTAAATGAAAAAGTTTGAAAAATGGAAAAAAAAAAGAGAGAATGGTAGATACCCTAATATAAAAGATTAGCTCTAAAACATTATGAGTAGTGTGAGAAAACAGACCCGATCTGACCAAAATACTGTGGATTAATGGACTGCCGTGCAGAGTTCCAAGCAGAGCACAGTCCTTGATAGCAGGTCACATCTTTTACTTCCTGGTACTATCCATCTTGGACAGACCAAGGCTTAGGATTTTGTAGAAGTTTTTAGTACGGTAAGTGAGAATAGCAACAGATGAAAAGTCTCACAATTTTTGTATCTGCAATGATAACCTTAGAAAAATTCTGCTTCTAGAAGCAGATTGAGTAGTCATTTGTCATCTCCTTGTAGTAATATTACTCTCTGACTCATGACCATTCATTCTTTCCTGTTTCTTTTTCTTTTCCTCTCTCTCTTTCCTGGTCTTCCCTTTTTACCTCCTCTCCTCCTTATCCCCCTCCTTCCCTCCCTTCCTTATATACATGTGTTACTGCAAATCTCCAATTCAAATGGAGGTATATATGCCTTTACTTAGCCAATTTAAAAACAGAACTCAAAATGGAAGCCATGCTGCTGAATATGTGTTACTGTTTCTTCAGTGCCATACTTTGATACCTTCCAATTTGTTCACTGATATAAATGCAAATTGGGAAAATAATTAAACCTATTTGCTGTTGATGCTGTCAGATGTTTCTGTAGCTTGCTGCTTAGTATAATTGAGGGATGAGTAATGGGATAAGGATATGATACATAATTCCACTGTTGCTGTAGATGGTGGCAGTCTTGGTCCTGATATATTGATGTGTGAAAGCTACTGAGTTTTAAAGCAATGAGTCATGTGGAGACACAATATTGGTGAAGCCTTTCTAGCATTTCCTTAGTAGGTTTCAGAGCGACCTATCTGCACATGGGGACTGTACATATTGTTTAAGGGACTGATACTTATGGTTGGCCTCACCACGCTTGTCCTGATCCTATGGGTAAGAGAAAGAGATCCCAGAAGTTTGAAATGCTTTTATTTTAGAACCTATCTCTATAGGAAAGAAAAATCATTTTAATAAACATCAAACAAAATAATTTATCATGGTTGCCTTTCCCTCCCCATTTTCCCCACCAAGCCAGCAAGTAAAGGTGTTCAGAAAAGTTCATCAAAGTGGGCAGAAGAACTCTTTTTAAATGTTGAGGAAATGTCCCTAAGTTTAGGTTTACTATCTGTCATTTAGGGCAAAAATCCAAAGTCCCCAGCATATCATGACTCAACTTTGTCTCACAGCATAAGTGTGTTGAAAATAAAGTTGCTTTATGAACTCAGAGAATAGAACATTGTTAGATTGGACAAATTTAGTTGTAAAATAACAGGTTGTAGGGCCACTCTTGCATTCTGAAATTATTTCCTAGGGCTCAGTCTCCTTTATCTACTCTTGGCCAAACTCAGAAGGGTATTAGAAAGCTCTGCTCTTGGCCCCTTTCTTCCCTGTGACCCTTCCCAGCCTTTCTGTACTTACAGTCACCCATCTATGGCACATCAGCAAGGACACATGAGAATGCAGGGCTTTGTTTCTTTTTTTCTCTTAGTTGTATGAATTCTAGATTAGGCCTTATGGACACTTGTTCACTGATGTATCTCAAGTTTGAGAACAAGCCCTGACAATATTGTAGGTGCTCAATAAATATTAGTTGAATAAACGACTTAGTGCCAAGAGGAGCTTTTTCAGTTAAACAGAAATTTATCAAATAGAACTTGAGAAAGGACACTAATTAAATGTGGCCATCTTAACACAGGCCAGGACCTAAACTTACTGGTTTGCCTACTAGTCCTTATTGTCTTGGCAATATTTGCTAAGATGAACCTTCTTAAATAAAAATGAATTCTCATTTAATGGTGGATGAAACAGAGAGTTGCTTTCTCATAATTCAGTATGGCTTGATCTGACTCAAAAGACTACCAGAGTCCATGTCTGCCTCCATTTTGGTGTGATCTTTTTCTTTTTTTTAATAATGTTACTAAATATATGGCGAACTTTTCTTCAATTTACAACACGTCGTATTCATGTCATATAGTCAGATTTGGGGAATCTGTGAAATCATGTAGTTTGCTTATATTAATGATATTATGGCTTTGTCCAGACTGTATCCTCAAAGGATTTTATGCTTTGTCCTTTACCTATGCAAGGCTTTTTAGTCCTTTATGTGCTTGTGTTAGATCTATTGAATTATATTAACATTTAAATTTGATTATATGGGGCCAGTTATCCTTTCTGTGGATTACTTAGATAGGCCATTAGTTTTTCCTGGCCATTTTTTCCTTCTGTTTTTTTTTAGTCATTTCATGTTAGCACCTCTACCTGAGTAAAGAGGAAAGAAAATAACTAAAAATGAAAGTGAAATGGATTGATTTGACAATGTGTCAATTTCTGAGTTAGAGTTTGGTAAGAAAGGTAAAAACCACTGGCCAAAATAAGACACTTGGATTAGGGCTGTTTCCTGTAAACAATTTAGACTTGCTGGAGAGGGGAGGCAGAATTTAACCAAAGGCTGGATTCTTCTTTCTTCTTCTGTTTATGAATTTATGTCTTTGGAGGACACTGGTGACATCCAGTGTTAGATCATGATTTGCCTCGTTTGCCCTTTAAGCTATCCCATAATTCTTCCAGATCCAGCATCAAGTTTCAGTTAATGCATCTTTCTGAAAAAACACCAGTTGCAAGTGATTTTGAATTGGTCCTCTGACTAAAATGGAAACTTCTTTTTTTTAATAATAAACTAAGCTACGTGAATGAGATCATATTATAATAAGGAAAAAACTATTTAATTTTTTGCCCCATGTATCAAACCAATAGCTTTAAAGATAGACATTTTCTATTTCTTAATCCTGCAGAACTCTGTATTTCATAACCATAAGTACTTTAGGGACTACTGCCCTATTAGCCTGTAGAAGAGCTCTTCTAGGGTTTACCCTTTTTTTCTAGAGTTTTTTTTTTTAACTTCAACTGGTTACTTATTCTCCTCAACCATGGCCCCGACAGATGTGTTTCAGTGCAACTATAATCCTCTTGAGACTTAACTTGAAAATGAAAAGCAGTGAAAAAACATGTGTTATCTCATCCTTCTGACAAAATGTACTCCATGTAAGCAGTGTGTGGCTGAACACTAATTTGGGGATAAGAGAGGGATGTGTTTTTTTGTTTTTCTTCTTTTTGGATTTCATATCTGTGACATGAGCCTACTTGTGTTTGGAGGGAAAACTGGCTTCCCTGACATTCTCACACTGGGGAGAAAGCATACTGAATTAAGAAATTATCATCCCTTCCAACAGCTCATTAATAATGTTAGAGCAAGGGAGATGATACTTCATCTCCTTTCCTAAACCCATGGGAACATTGCAATCATTCTGGGGAGCCATAGTTTAAAAACAAACTGAGGCATAACAAAGATGGTGAAGGAGTTTAAAATTTAAGACATCTGAAGAATATTTGAAGGATTTAGGGAAATATAGCTTGGGAAAGAGAGAGGAACACAGTACGTTAGAGCAAGACTCTGTTGTTCAAAGGGGTGGAACGAGGCCCACTGAATAGAGGTCATAGGGCCACAGATTTGAACTTCACGTAAGGGAGAACTTTCTCAAAAAGTTGGTTCACCATGGAAGGGGCTGCCTCTGTCAAGCAAAGGCTAGATAAGAACTTGGCAAAGATGATGTGGAGAAGATCCCAGCATTTGTTGGGGTGGCCCAGATGACCTATTAAAATTCTATGTTGTAGTACTTTGCTTCTCGTAACACGTTCAGTTAAATATCTGCTGACCCACAGCTTTTTTTTTTTTTTTTTTTTTTTTAAGGCTTTGCGCTTCTGCCCAAAGTGCATCCTACTCTCCAGGAAGGAGGGTGGTTACATGTCATTAGGTTGAGACTGGCTTGCTGTTATGCCCTAGGCTGGGATTGCTTTCCAAGTCCATTCATTGATATCCTGTTGAAATCACAAACTGATTCTTGAGTTAAAGATTAAAAAGGTATTGTTTTAGTAGAAGTTGAAATCTACATGAAATCATGGAAATTATGTATTTGTCACTTGCCAAACATAGGCCAAGCTCAGTGTTAGTGAGTAGTTGGTATTTCTTCAGGATTTCAGGATAGGCCTCTTTAGCAGAGCGGAATCGTCAGTTAAAATCCCGTAAATTACCAATGTAAAGTTTTGCAGCTCCTGTCACAGATGGGCTGATGGTCACTGGCAAAAAGCAGGCCCCAAAATCTATTTTGGAAAAGTCTCAAATGACATTTGGTTAGTCGATTTGATTCTCTTGAAAAAGCATGATCTGAAAATAATTTTAAAAGAACGGAGGCCAAATTGCTCTATGTAGAAAGTAACAAAATATAGGTCTTTGATTTGAAAATCAGAGATAACTATAAGCAACACTTGCTAATAAAGCCCATTACCCAAGTGATTCCTCCACCTGCAAGGTAACTTGCAACCTTGGAAGGCTGGTAGATGGCTCTTCATTGGTCTTTCTAAAAAAGTCATTGGTCTTGCATCAGTATGGTGAGAAACACTTCAGTTTGGGTGAGAATTTCTTTGACTCCTTTGGATAAGAAGTCAGAGCACAAAAGCTACCCTCTTCTTTAACTGACTTTGTGACATGCAAGAGTCAAAATTTTACTTTCCCACTGAGTTAAAGCAGAATTTTCAGAGGTATTGTGTTCTAGTTCCCTTGGCGGGTTGTGACTTTGACACTTCAGGGAGTGATGTAGGGAGGTATTTAGAAGGGGGGAACACTAGGCTAGGTGTTAGGGGTCCTAATATTCCCATGAATTAGCTATAACATTATGCAAAGCACAATCTCTTGCAGTTTCCTCCTCCACAAGATAGACTAATAGTAATAATACCTGTCAGAATTATTGTAAAAATTAGATAAATTGAAAATGCTTGGTAAACAGTAAACACTCAAATATTAGTTTTCTCCTTGATTAAGAGCAGACTTTGGATGGTCTGATACAACTATAGATCCTTAGA